GATGGGATTGATAAATATGGACACAGCAGTTGTAGAGTTCATGGTGGGAAACGGAGACATTTCAAGGATATTCTTTTGAATGAAGCATAATATAGGAAGCTGATGTTATATGCTTATTATTCAACATCACCGTAGAAACAAATTGTTAAAGACTCCAGTATTTAAACTATCAATACAAGCCAACTGCTCCCAATCCAGTGATATAATAGGTCCTTTTAATTTATGAAATGAATCATTTACAACTTTGGAAATTATGTAGAACTTCTTAGGTGCATATGAATGTCTTAATATCAAAGAAACAGTTTGAGTTGAACCTATAAACAAAAAAATTTATATTTTTCTCCATTTTATAAATGACAGATGAACCCACTCTTATGAAATATGAAAAAACACCGTCTAGTAGGTATGAAAATAACCATAGTTACAGGCGTAGAGGGTGCCAACACCCCTTCTCCCAATAAGAAGAATTTCATCCCTGCCACCTCCAGTAATTTTGATGTTCAAAAATTAAAATCAATAAGTTAAATCTATATGAATAAATCAATTAAATAATTAACTAAAATCAATTAATAAACTAGGAAAAGTAAAGATATTTAAATCTGTCTACTTTTGGAAATGATTTCTATCATGTCTGAACCTGTCGAATTCTCTTCTGTGTTGGGTTGAATTTTTTTGCTTGCTATTATATATTTCATTTTATTTTATCATATGTCTATTTTAGGCCAAAGGTCACCAAAAAAACACAGTTTTTTTATCTCCTGTATGCTTTATTCAACGTTTCGGCTTCAGGAGCCATTTTCAAGAACCTGCAAAACATGCACTGCGCCATAAAATTTTTAAAATTTATCATTGCGATATGATTCGTCCTTAATTCATTCTTTTATTTCAAAGAATGTCGTTTTCCGTTTCTCTATTTGCAGACGGTATCAAGAAATTATTGTTCTTCAATAGGGCATTCATACAGGACTCAAAACGAACGACATTCTTTGAAAGAATGAATTAAGGACGAATCATATCGCAATGATAAATTTAAAAAATTTTATGGAGCGGTGCATGTTTTGCAGGTTTTTGAAATTGGCTCCTGAAGCCGAAAAGTTGAATAAAGCATACAGGAGATAAAAAAAACTGTGTTTTTTTGGTGACCTTTGCCCTAAATGGTAAATTATGAGAAAATGGCACCAAACCCTAAGGATGTGACTAGAAAATTATTTCATTTTATTTTCATTTAATTGTTGGCCAATTTGCTCTCCTCCTCTTATCAAAGACTTAAGGAATCTCTCAATGTGCTCTTGCTTCCTAGGATATAATGCCTCTAGCTATATCATCTGCATACTCTAAGATTTTATGGTTTATTCTGACTGCATCTATCCATTTCCATCTGATATCCTTATCGTCTTCTTCAGGACTAATAAGGGTTCATAGTCAGTAGATCACAAATTTCAACCAAAAGTTTTGGTGATTTTACATCGAAAAATATTACACATTTCTCCATGTTCGTTCCAATGGGCGTAAGGATCAAAAAAGAAAAAAATATTTTATATATTTTCAAAATAATTTTAGGTCATTTCTTTTTACCAGGATTTCTAGATTATTATATACCAATCAATTTCTTTCTTTTTCAGAATAAAAAAAAATTGGTTAAAGTATTAATATATAAATTAGTTAAAATTTATCATGAATTACAAAAACCAAAAGAGCTTCCAAAAAAGTAGGGCATAATTTTTTTTTTTATGAAAGAAAAAGTTATATTTGTTTTTAGTATTCTTTGAAACTCTTGTCTTCCTTTAAAAAGGAATTTATATGCGCATAGGTACATTTTCTTCATTTATTTTTTGTATTGAAGGTATTTACACCTGAATTAAAAAATAAAAATATATTTATGATGTAGAGATGGTTGACCGTTGATATAATATGAGAAGGATTTAGTCGAGGGTGCGGTCAAATAAATAAAAAAAAAATTAAAATATATAAATTATTTTAATTTTTGCCGATGTTTCGACCCACTTTGCAGGTCGTCTTCAGGGCTACAAAAGATACAAAACATGTTGAAAATCTTCGTAAACACGTTGAAAATCTTACGTATCTTCTACATATATAATTCTTAATATTTAACTACATTGTCACCCACTATATCTCTGATACCATCTTTTATTTCTGTATCTGACAACTTCTTCGTATTTTATATATACTTATATTTATTTTTTATTTTCAACATGTTTTGTATCTTTTGTAGCCCTGAAGACGACCTGCAAAGTGGGTCGAAACGTCGGCAAAAATTAAAATAATTTATATATTTTAATTTTTTTTATTTATTTGACCGCACCCTCGACTAACTCCTTCTCATAAAAATATATTTAGTAAATGTGAATGGCCCTAATTCCCTGAAACTTTACGTATGGATCAGTGGAATCTTCTTAATTTTTTGACAAGTTTTGTTTATTTTTATCTCTAGTTTTAAAATTTTTAAGGGGGTCTGGTTTGTAATATTTTGTCTAGTTTTTAGGTATATTCATAAGGTGAAAAGATGAAGTTATGTTAAAATTATTAAAGTTTTTATTGTTATAACAATCCGTAGTTATAGATCTATATCCTTTCCAAAGCCATACATAAAGATCAGACTTAAATGTTATTGCACATTTCATTCGCTTGCCGATAAAAACTCTGGACCTGGATAACCGTTCACGCTCTTTAGAATAACATATTTAAATTTTATATTGCACGTTTTCCGTTTTTGGCTTAAATTGCACGATTTTTATTTTTGGTGCATTAAATTCCACATTTTTGCGATAAATTAAATAATTTGTAAATATAAATCACTAAATTGTTCAAATTAAATTCGTTATTCAAGATAGAAAAATATGAGGAAGATAAATAATTCTTTGACAAGCAAATATCGAATTTGACATTAAAAAAGGAAGAAGTAAACTCGAGTGAGAAATATTCTTGGAATAGAACTTGCCTAAAAGATTGGATAATAAAAAGCTTTTCCTAGAATAAAAAGACATTGTTTTGGCTTGAATCTTCACTGATTCGTTCAGCCCATTTAATATCCCCTTTGGCTTTAAATTGATTTATAGTAATTTCCTCCTCTCCTCCCCCCCCAAAAAAAAAATAATAATAATGCTGCAAGTCTCTCTAATAATAATCTGCAAGGTCTAAAATTAAATCAGGATATACAAATATTACGAATTGAAATATGATTAAAAAAATTTTGTTAAGAAAGTTCTGTATACCTTATGAAGAATCAATCGGATGAAATAGATTATCTGAGGAGTTGATGGGGGGGGGGGAGAGGAGGGGGGTGCGGTCAAATTAATACTAAATTAAACAAGTAGAATTATTTAATTTTTGCCGACGTTTCGACCTACTTTGCAGGTCTTCATCAGGGCGTAGGATGTAGCACTGCGGGAGGCAGTTGAAACAGTTTGTTAACTCCTCATATTATATCAACGGTCAACCATCTCTACATCATTAGAAATAGATTATTACTGATAGATCCTCTTTATAGAGCAGGTGGATCATTCTTATATTATTTGATCATTTAATTAAAAACATCAAACTTGAGCTTCGGAAGTCAGTTTTCTTTTTTTTAATTTGAAATTATTTTTTTAAACCATAACTTAATTAATATGGACCTAAAGCTTATTGAACGAAAATGTTTTTCTTCAAACAATTTAAATAAACAAACTTTATTAGTATATTGAAAATATACAATGACTATGAATATAATACAATTAAAAGTAAACCATAAATATTTCAAATCAACATGGGAAAAAAAATTACGATTTTAGTTTTTTTCATCAATGCCTATAAGAAAAACAACTAAAATCCTCCTCATCTTTTTTAAATGTTCGTAATAAAGATACTGACATAATCAATTGGTAGTAGGAACAATAAAAATAAATGATATTAAATCTATACGAATAATAGTAACATTCGTTACGTTTTCATACAAAATCCCTATCATTGATTTAACCAAATGTTGGATAGATATGAAACCCTAACCCTAAATAAATTCCTCGAGGCTACTTATTTTGCAGTCATCATCCATTATGTCAATTGAACAATGTTAAGTAAAATAATGGTAGCATTCGTTACACATAACTTTGTGACATAGCTTGCTTTGGAAGAAAAGGTATATATAGTCTCCAGTCAGCTCTTTCATGCTTCAAGATTACATATTGACTGATCGCTGGCACTACTACTATAATATGTAATCTTGAAGCATGAAAGAACTGACTGAAGACTATATATACCTTTTCTTCCAAAGCAAGCTATATATATATATATATATATATATATATATATATATATATAAACTATAATTACTTATGAGAAAGAAAGAAAGATACTAACGACCTATATGAAATGGAGTTTAAGTGTATCTTGAAGTCCTATTAAATGTAATTACACGAACAATAATACTTTAAGTAATTTTTTTTTTTTTAATGTTTTTCCCCAACTCTCGTATACGGGGTTTTCTCCGGGACGGGGGGAGGGTAAGGGTAAGGAATTTATTTAAAATCCCTTCCGGCACCGAGACGCGAACCGAACACTACCTCGCGGTGCTGTGCACACGCGTTAGCTCATTCGGCCACCCCGCTCCCTGATACTTTGAGAGATAATTTTCTAATATTATTTTTCCATAAAACATGGTTGCATTTTATCATTTTGGAGGTGTGGGCGCTTCAGCATTATTTCATTTCTTGTATGTCAGGCAATAGACCAATTAATCAATTTAAGGACAATTCAAAAAAATATATTAGATTATTTTTTTTATGACAGTGGTTTTGTTCGAGTTATGCTAAGATATTATTCCTTGTGCTATTACATAAAGGTGGACCAATCTGAAGTAAATCTGTTAGCAATATCTAAATTTTTTGTGAAATGAATCGTGTGTGGATGAACAATAATTTGTACAAAATAATTAGATGTGGAGAGTTGAAGTATTTATTCAAAGATACTCATGATAATGTAACTTGGCATTTTGCATAGTTCAGAATGGAAAAAGAAACCTTTTGTTACATACTCTCCAAGCTGGAGGTCAGGTTACAGAAGTTGAGTACTTCAGAGAAACTATATCGCAAAAAGAACGTCTGGTGCTCACTTTCAGGTAAGAGATTGGTCAAATGAAAAATATTGTAGTATAATGAAACCTATAAATATTTTAATTTCATTGTTTTAAGAAAAATTAAATAGAAATGAAAGGAAAATGACAGGTGATTAGATTAAGGTCCTTGCTTCACTGGTTGTTATTAAGTGTTAATAAAAAAAAAAAATCAGGCATACTATCAGATGACTAACAGTATCCTTGGGCACTGTGAAGTGGATGAGAAGGTTAAGATGCACTTACGAAAATCTTCTTATTCTCACCTATGGCGGAGAAAGCTGGACTATGTAGGATAGACATAATAGTCACGTAACATCTGCAGAAATGAGGTTCCTACGTAGATCGGTAGGAAAAACTAGGAGCGATCGAATTAGACATTTTTTGTTCCATCTTCATACTCAATGCCTTTAGATAAATCCACTTAAGCAATTCAGGCTGCAATAATGTGCTCGGCAGTCTCCCATACTCTGCAACTGAAAAAGCTTCATGTGGAAGCTCCCGTGCCCAGTTAACATTCAGCAGGTCCAGTAACCAAGTCTTACCCATTTCGCTGCTAAATAGTAATCGATGATGGGGAAAATATTTCCTCAGAGTAGCATCTTTTATAGTCATTAACCATCGCAGGTTCCATTCGTCAAGTGTGTATTCTGATATGAGTGACTTCATACAAAGACGGATCTCTGTCATTTTCAGAGAGTGGAGAAAAAGTCAATTTTTGTTTTATAGGGTCAACTCAAACTGTTTTTGATGATTTTATGTAATGATGTTCAAGTTGAATCATGGAAATAAATCATTATCATCAAGTTACGTTACAAAAATTGGCTTTTCCTTAAATTTTTAAAAATGACAGACGACGTTCGCCTTTGATATGAGGCCTGTTGTATGATCTTCAGTTTGCGAGGTTTTTGATTGATTCTCACACTGTTTTACTCGACTCACATCATTTGGACTTAAAGGGAAACCGCCAATGATACCAAAGAAAAATACCAAGGAAGAAAACATTTTATCACGATTCCCAAAACTTTTCTTCTTGAATCCCTTTAATTGGTAGATTATTGAAAACCGTTTTATCTAGGGGGAGAGTCTAAAATCTTTAGGATACATACTACTGTAAGTTTAACTTTCTTGAAAATAACAACTACAAAAGTTTCTAGTCAGCGTGACTTGATATTGTGATGAAGCTTCCCAGGAACAATTAACCCTGTAATCTCAACGCAGTTCAATCTGCGATGTCTATATTGATTTAACCCTCCTTAACTAGCTGCTCCCGTCGATCCAAATACCTCAACTAGTGCAAGCGACAAGGCAGCGAACTGGGATTTTAACAAATTTAACTTTAAATAATAAAGTTAACTTAAAACACTGTTCGAAATGTAATTGTATTCCTCCCCCACTGTATAAGAAACGTGTTTTGGTTTATTACTTTCAATAATCAACCATTGTGATCGACCAACAAATTCAAAAACTTAACTCCCTCTCAAAATTTGAGGTTTCACGTTTCAGGATGCGTAGAATACGCATAAACGAACGAATAAACATTTTTTTGTCCGTCCGCCGTCATTTTCTCCGAAACTACTGGACCTTTTTTATTTTTTCAAATTTGGATATGAAATCAGAGGTCACCCGAGGATGATCCTCCTTCATCAACATTGCTATCCGCCTTTTACTTTCAAAATGGCTGCCAACTGTAGCTCATAAACGAATGTACCGATTTCAATGAAACTTCGCTAAAGTCATTTTCTCGACACCCTTTAAAGTTATCTATATAACATACTTACACGAAAAGAAGCTGGAAAAAAGTTACGAGGGATGGTAAAATTAAGTTCCAAATAACACTAAAAGTATAAACTTTTTGGTTAATATGATATATGTGTTTTTAAAAGTTTACGGAATTTCCTAAAAAAACAAAAAAATCGTTAAAATCGAACAATTAGGAGCATAGATTTGGTCTCCAGTTTTTTAAAAATATGTTCTACTCCAAATATTGTATCCTTTGGTTGGTTTTTAAATTTTGAATGTATTACTGAAGTAATGCTATTTTTTTTTAGCATATTACTAATGATTAAAAATAAAGTTTCGTCCAATAATTGGAATCATGTTTTATTTGTTTTTCTTTGTAACTAGGAAGGTAATGTTACTTTAGATGTATAAATGTTTGGAAATAATAAACCATTGTGAAATAATTTGCAGCTTTTTTTTTTTTATTCTGAAAATAATGCACAATAAAATGATAAAGTCTTTCATACTGTGATAATCACCCCTATGCATAACTATACAGACGATATTCGCTTGGAATAATAATAGTAAAGAAACAATTGTATTCCGTTTTTTCCAAGCCCCCTTCCAATAAATTTTGGTTATGCAACAAATTTATCTATTAAGTAATTAATAGTAATATCCTAAAAACTTATTTTGGATTGATAATTTTTTTTTTGCAACTATGTTTATTTACTTTTAATTTTTACAGGCACATTTCTACAGATTTATCATTAAAGGCGCTGTACTTTTCATTCCGAATACATAATTTTATCATTGGAAGGAATGTCCTTGGGTCATGTAAAACAATTTGGGAAGCACTGCAACGATGGCGGTTTCCATCTAATGAAAAGCTAGTAGGATGCATTGGAACTTATCTCAAGAAGAAATGGCGATTGATATACTACATTGATGATAGGAATAAAAAACAAATGCAAGTAAAAAGCACAGAACAGTCTAGATATGTGTATTTAAACTACAATAAATTGTTTTTTATCGAATCACAATACGCCTATGACAAACAAATGGACTGTGAGCTTTTAAGCTACTCAAACCTTGAGCTACAGCTCCAGCAAGAAAATGAAAATTTGAACTTTGAAAAAGAACTTTCGGGGAGAGACACCTGTATATCCCGCGTTCTGGTGAATAATAGTCGACAACCGTTCAAACCCATATTAATGAGAAGCTTGACTGGAGATAGAGAAATTTTAAATATGCAATTATCAAACACAAGACAAATCATGCAATGTGTATTTGGTATAATGAGCGAAAAATGGCGAATATTCTTAAAAGTTGTTGACAATGAAGCAACTAAAAAATCTTTCGTTGAAAGGGATGAAAATGTAGGTAGTGTAAAAGAAATTAGAATAGAAACAATTTAAACGACTACTTTGCATTAATATTTGATTAACAATACATTTTAAGACTCTTGAAGACAGCATCGTCAATAAAATGCTGATCCAATAAATCTGATTATAATAATGGAATTTATTATTTTAATTTATTAATATTATTTTGTACCATCCAACGTAGGATTATGGGATTAAATATTTTTTTAGGAAGAAACAAAATTGATATTCGTTTTTCGAACCTCAAAAAACCCACAAATGCAAATTTTGATAGCAACTGAAAATTTGTCAACAACCACGAAATTTGTGATAACTTTAGAACGGCTCCACCGATCCACACAAAAATTATTTGGGATTTAGCTATTTCGGAACAAGTATTCTGTTTAGCTCAAATCTTCACAACAGCGCCATTGATTAAACGGTTTATTGATGTTTTATTTATTTTTTCATATATGAAGTAAATATTCGCAAAATTTCAATTTTTTAACATTGAAAATAAAGGCACACAAAAAAAAAAATGTATGTTTGAATTTAGACATGACCGTTTAATAGGCCGAATGGGCTCCGTCTTCTAAAACCAAACGTTTCACCAAACCCACATCTGTATTCCATAACAAATGATTTTTTTTACAGAAGTTCCTCGAAGGTATCTAGATTACAAAAATACATAATTCGTGATGGTGGTCAATGGAGCTTTTTTTTTTTTTTTTTGTACGATTGGACAATATTTTTTTTCTCGTTATTTCAAAACAAGAATACTGTTTAACTCAACTATTCATAACAACGCAATTGTTTGAACGGATTATTGGTATTTTATTTTTTCCTATATCTGAGGTAAATATTTACAAAATTTCAATTTGTTATCATTGAAAATAAAGACACAGGATAAAAACAAACTTTATGCTTCTGATGAACAATTTTGGATAAGGTACAATAGGCCATTTTTAGACCTCTCTGTAGGGGACGTTTTTTTGGAAAAAAATTGTAGCAAGAGTATGTTCTTTTCAAGGACCGGGAAACAAAACTTAATTTAACTTTTGAGTATTTTTTCCGCCTTTGCCCCACTGTGCGGCGCACAGTGGTTGAAAATCGACTTTATTCGAAAAAAAATCCTGGAAATACTGATCTATAAATTTCAAAAAAATAGTTTTGAGACCATCATAATCACAACTAAATTTTCTATAAAATATTTACAGTAAAACTCCGTTTAACCGGCTCTCCGGATTAACTGGAGATAAAAGAGACGAATCAATTTTTTTTCTCTTACAATAAGATAGTTTGAGCTAATTAAATTATTGAAACAAATAATATAGTTGTTTTTATTACAACCAATCTTGTCCTGTGAACTTATATTAAGAGAATTAATGGGGTAGCAAATTAATAAAGGTGAGATTGACAGGGTAACAAATAGTGAAAATCATTCTATAGAGTGAAAGAAGAGGGATTTTGTTTTTCAATAGCCTAGACAGAACTTTTATTGTAGTTGATGGAAACACTTCGGATTGGTAAAGCAAAAAAAAATTAACGGGACTTGTGAAGACTATTAAATAGCAAACTATCGTTTATGCACTTAAAGCAAATCATATATTCAAGAAAAGTTACAATACGCTGATATAATCAATTTAAATGTATCATATATTATACATATTCAGATATAAGCTGTAAATCAATTTTTGTAGACACTTTTAATTTCAATTTAACCGGTCATGTCTCGATTCTGGCTAGGACGGATAAGCGAAGTAGTAAAAAATGTTTGCAGTTAAATCAGTAAGTCATTTTATGAGATGTATATTCTTTAAAAAAAATTAAATTGTTTATCAATTTCATAAAATAAATAAAAGCAATAGAATGATTTTGCGAGGAGATGGAAGGTTGACATATCTCATTTTAAGATTCTATTCCGTGCTACCAAATACCAAAAACTCATTCCATGAAATTATTTTTTAACAAATAATTATTTTTCAAATTCGAATTAATTAAATATTTACTCTCTTATATACCACATGATAAGAATAAGAAGGAGTTCCTCATTTTTATCAAAATAAATAGAATCTGAAGAAAAAATTGTTTAAATTTAATTTTTGTTTTATTAGTAGCAAGTGTCATGGCCGCAAGTGCAGTTGAAGATTCACATCGCTCTGTATTTGTTACTATGTAATGTGGTTACTATTTAAAATTCTGGTGTAAGACTATATCAACAGTGACTATATAAACAGTGGTACATTTTATGTCACATATGTTCAGGTTAGTAACTATTGATTAACAATGAAGCAGTAATAAATTAGTGCTCGTTCGGCAAGCCCAAGTGGCCCGTAATCCCTTACGGGTTTACCTTATCTGTAATAAGTTACGGTCAAGACTCGGCTCTGTGTATACTAACATTCTTCGGCTTTGTTCACAGTTCGAATCCAAGACATTTAGGTTTTTTTTTTTTCTTTTTTTTTTTTTTTTTTTTTTCTCTTTATATTTTTAATATTTTTCAGGAGACTTTTATTTTATTTACTCATTAATTAATTCTGAAATGAATTATTTTATATTATATCTGTACATAGTTTGTAAATAGTTTAGTTCTTAAGAAGCTATCTTATAATTTTCATTTTATTATTTAGGTTTAAAAAACATTTTTTTTTCTCTCTTTCTCTCACACTCATTTATCCATCATGGATAAATCCATGGATTTGGATAAGAACACTTCTTGTGAAGACTCGGAGAACGAGACACCCTTTTCAGAAATTAGCGAGACTGACTCGCAATACTTGAAAAGACGTACGCTCCAAAAGCGTGTCCGAAACTCCGCTCCCGGTTCGGGAAGCAACTCACCAAATAAGAAAAAAACAAAAAATAAATCTAACAAATCAAATAAGCCAGCAGAACAAGAAAAATCTCCACCTAAAACGAGGAGTAAATCTAATGCCACACAATCAGAGCCAACTGCACCAAGCACCTCAGCCAGCAAGAATACTATTCTCGATAACAATTTATCAAGCAAGATTCCGAAGCCTCAAGATTTTTCTGACCCCGAACCGCCACCTGTTTTTGTTTCAAAAATTGAGAACTTCGTGTCGTTTGGTCAAGAAATTGCAAAACTAATCGGACAGCCAAATTTTCGCTGCTTCTCTCGAATCAATGACATTAAAATAAACACGAACTCTAGAGAAAACTATAAAAAATTGATTAGCCATTTAACTTCCAAAAACTACGACTTCCATTGTTACCAATTGAAACAGGACAAGGCGTTTCGAGTAGTCCTGAGAGGTCTACATTCAACCACTCCTATATCTGTCATCAAAACAGGCCTGGAAGAAATCGGTCATAACGTCAGGCACATAGCACCCGTACTACATCCTAGGGAAAGATATCCGCTTCCATTATTTTTTATAGATTTGGAACCAGCAAAAACGAATAATGAAATATTTCAGGTTCAACGTTTAGTATACTCGACAGTACGATTTGAAGAACCAAGACAGAAGCCCCTAATAGTACAATGCACTAAGTGTCAAAACTTCGGGCATACGAAGACATATTGCCATCACGAGGCCAGATGTGTTAAATGCGCCGGTTTTCACGCTTCAGACACTTGCCAGAGGCCAAAAGATGAGCCCGCTACATGTGCTCTTTGTGGTGAAGCCCACCCTGCAAGCTATAGAGGTTGTGAGGTGTATAAAAATCTTCACAAACAGAGATCACGCAACTTAGCGACGAAAACCCTTGGACCTGCTCAAAAAACTTGTCCTGAGCCACCTGAAATTGAAAATCAGGAAACATTCCCTGCTTTGCCGACTTCACCTTCCATCGCCGTCCAACAACAACCATCCATCTCTACACTTAAGGATTATCCTCAACAGAACTCAAGAAATTCTCAATGGCAGCCTTGCATCATTAAGAAGCAGCCTCAAAGTCAGGCGCCTCAAACCTCCCAATCCAAGCCCAAAAGCTCTAATACTCAACCTCAACAGCCTCGTCAGCCAATCCCTCCCCATCAGCTACCCTTAAGGGTCAAACTCCCGCCAGAGCACCCACACCCAGCTCCACTCGTTCCTACTCCCAAGATGAACCTCCCATCACAAGTCCAACAGAATTTAGATCCTACTCCTCGTACCCCACGTCGGACCCACCCTCCACCCAGCAATCCTATTCGCATAGATTACTCATCACAACCTCATGACCTAAATCCACTTCCCAGCCAAACATCATCCGACATCACCTCTATCCTATCATCATTCCTGATAGATCTTCAACAAACTATCAAACCGCTTATAACTCTTCTCACAAGACTCCTTTCCGAAATCCCGTTTAACTTCCGATGAATACAAAGCCCCTAGCTATCCTCTTATGGAACGCTAACGGACTACAAAACCACCGTGACGAACTAGACATATTTCTCCATGACAATTATATTGACATTGCTCTTCTGACAGAAACTCATTTCACTCAACGGACACAATTCTACATACGTGACTACATCACTTATAGATCTGACCATCCAGACAACACTTCCCACGCTGGCTCTTGCATCCTTATACATAAATCTCTATCGCATTCCCTTATCCCTTCTACTCCAACTGATGCCATTCAATCAACTTCTGTAATCCTTTCAACTCGTCCTTTCCATCTAACACTTTCAGCTGTATTCTGTCCTCCTGGTAATTCCCTCTCTTATAGCCTACTTGATTCCTTATTTCAATCCCTCGGAGCGCGCTTTATTGCTGGAGGAGACTACAATGCTAAACACCAACGATGGGGTTGTCGAACATCCAACTCCCGCGGTAGCATCCTATCACGTGTCTCTTCTTCCAACAGTTATTCAATCCTCTCACTCATGAATCCTACATATTGGCCTCCATCTCTGAAAAAACGTCCCGATATCCTGGATATATTTATCACCTCCCAGATTTCCTCCTCCCAATCCAATATCAAATCCCTGGATGACCTTTCGTCAGATCATAGTCCAGTTTTGCTTTTACTACATTCGAACTTTGCTCCTAAACCTAAACTTCCTAAACTAATTACAGGACGAGTGGACTGGGACAAATTTCGTCATGATCTG